TTAAATAGGCCTGGATTGCTATGTACTTTCCTCTTAGAACTGCCTTCACTGCGTCCCACGGAAGTTAGGGTGTTGTGCTGTCGTTTTCATTTGTCTTCATATATTGCTTGATCTCTGTTTTAATTTGGTCATTGATCCATTGATTCTTTAGGAGCATGTTGTTAAGCCTCCATGTATTTGTGAGCCTTTTTATTTTTGTACAATTTATTTCTAGTTTTATACCATTGTGATCTGAGAAGTTGGTTGGTAGAATATCAGTGTTTTTGAATTTACTGAGGTTCTTTTTGTGGCCTAGTATGTGGTCTATTCTGGAAAATGTTCCATGTGCACTTGAGAAGAATGTGTATCCTGCTGCTTTTGGGAGTAGAGTTCTGTAGATGTCTGTTAGGTCCATCTGTTGTAGTGTGTTGTTCAGTGCCTCTGTGTCCTTACTTATTTTCTGTCTGGTTAATCTGTCCTTTGGAGTGAGTGGTGTTGAAGTCTCCTAAAATGAATGGATTGTATTCTATTTCCTCCTTTAGTTCTGTTAGTATTTCTTTCACATATGCTGGTGCTCCTGTATTGGGTGCATAGATGTTTGTAATGGTTATATCCTCTTGTTGGACTGAGCCCTTTTTCATTATGTAGTGTCCTTCTTTATCTCTTGTAACTTTCTTTGTTTTGAATTCTATTTTGTCTGATACTAGTATTGCAACACCTGCTTTCTTCTCTCTGTTGTTTGCGTAAGATATCTTTTTCCATCCCTTGACTTTAAGTCTCTGCATGTCTTTGGGTTTGAGGTGAGTCTCTTGTAGGCAGCCTATAGATGGGTCTTGCTTTTTTATCCATTCTATTACTCTGTGTCTTTTGTTTGGTGCATTCAGTCCATTTACATTTAGGGTGATTATTGAAAGATATGTACTTATTGCCATTGCAGGCTTTAGATTCGTGATTACCAAAGGTTCAAGGTTAGCTTCTTTACTACCTTACTGTCTAATTTAACTCACTTATTGAGCTATTATAAATGCAGCTGATGATTATTTCTCTCCCTTTTTATTCCTCCTCCTCCATTCTTCATATGTTGAGTGTTTTGTTCTGTGCTCTTTTTAGGAGTGCTCCCATCTAGAGCTGTCCTTCTAAAAGACCCTGTAGAGGTGGTTTGTGGGAAGCCAATTCCCTCAACTTCTGCTTGTCTGGGAATTGTTTAATCCCTCCTTCATATTTAAATGATAATTGTGCTGTATACAGTATCCTTGGTTCAAGGCCTTTCTGTTTTATTGCATTAAATATATCATGCCATTCTCTTCTGACCTGTAAGGTTTCTGTTGAGAAGTCTGATGGTAGCCTGATGGATTTTCCTTTGTAGGTGACCTTTTTTCTCTCTCTGGCTGCCTTTAATACTCTGTCCTTGTCGTTGATCTTTGCCATTTTAATTATGATGTGTCTTGGTGTTGTCCTCTTTGGGTCCTTTCTGTTGGGAGTTCTGTGTACTTCCGTAGTCTGAGCAACTATTTCCTCCCCCAGTTTGGGGAAGTTATCAGCAATTATTTCTGCAAAGCCACCTTCTATCCCTTTTTCTCTCTCTTCTTCTTCTGATACCCCTATAATGCGGATATGGTTCCTTTTGGATTGGTCACACAGTTCTCTTAATATTGTTTCATTCCTGGAGATACTTTATCTCTCTCTGCATCAGCTTCTATGCGTTCCTGTTCTCTGGTTTCTATTCCATCAATGGCTTCTTGCATCTTATGCATTCTGCTTATAAATGCTTCCAGAGATTGTTTCACTTCTGTAATCTCCCTCCAGACATCATCCCTTAGCTCTTGTATATTTCTCTGCATCTCCATCTGCATGTTTATGATTTTTATTTTGAATTCTTTTTCAGGAAGATTGGTTAGGTCTATCTCCTTCTCAGATATTGACTCTGTGATTTTTGTCTGTCTCAGATTCTGCCTTTTCATCGTGATAGAGATAGTTTGCGGAGTTGGCGCAAGTGACGGCTGGGAGAATGTCCCTTCTTGTTGGTTTGTGGCCTTCCTCTCCTTGGAGAACAGCGACCTCTAGCGGCTTGTGCTAGGCAGCTGCCTGCAGATGGGGCCTCTGATTCTTGCCCGGCTGCCATGGAGTTTAGCTCTGCAGTTGCTGTGGGTGTGGCCTGCCTCGGGCAGCTGCTCCGATATGGCGGAGCTGCTTTGGAGGGGAAACGGCCGGAAGGCTGTTTATCTCCGTGATGGGCCTTTGAGCCGCCCTGCTGCACAGGGGGTTAGGGTACCCAGAGTTCCCCAGGATTCCCAGCTGCTGTGCTAAGTGTCCCGGGACACTTCTGTCCAGCTTTGGGGTCTCTGTCCCTTTAAGACTTTCAAAAAGCACTCGCTTTTCTTTGTCCCTGGGGCACCGGCTGCGGTGACCCGCTCACAGGTCTTACTCTTCTGTTTCCTTAGTTTCCATCACCCTACGCATGCACTGTGTGTCTGTGCTCCAGTGCGGATGGCTAGGGCTGGGTGTTCAGCAGTCCTGGGCTCCCTCTCCCTCCCTGCTCTGTCTCCTCTCATCCCGCCGGGAGCTGGGGTGAGGGGCGCTCCGGTTCCACAGGGCCACGTCTTGTATCTTACCCCCTTTGCTACGCACTGGGTTCTCGCAGGTGTGGATGTAGTCTGGCTGTTGTCTTGTGTCTTCTGGTCTCTTTTAGGGAGAGTTGTATTTGTTGTATTTTCAAAAATATATGTGATTTTGGGAGGAGATTTCTGCTGCTCTACTCATGCCGCCATCTTGGCTCCGCATCAATTATTTCTTCAAAGACACTTTCTATCCCTTTTTCTCTCTCTTCTTCTTCTGGCACCTCAATCATAGAATATTGTTCCATTTGGATTGGTCACGCAGTTCTCTTAATATTCTTTCATTCCTAGAGATCCTTTCATTTCTCTCTCCCTCAACTCTGTATTCCTGTTCTCTGATTTCTGTTCCATGAACAGTCTCTTCTACCTCTTCCAGTCTGCTCTTAAATCCTTTCATTGTTTGTTTCATTTATGTTATCTCCCTCCTGAATTTATCCCTTAGCTCTTAAATGTTTCTCTGTAGCTCCATCAGCATGCTTATGACTTTTATTTTGAATTCTTTTTCAGGAAGATTGGTGATTTCAGTCTCACCAAGCCCTCTCTCTGGTGTTTGAGCGATTTGGGACTGAACAAGGTTCTTCTGCCTTTTCATGGCAATGAGAGTGGTCACCAGCAAGTGGCACGTGTGTCAGCTGGGAGAACAAAGTCCCTTCCTTCTTGCTGGTCGCCTTCCCTGTCTCCGCTGTCTGTGCTGGTTAATCACACACAGGGAGCAGCCTCTGGGTTAATCCCCTAAGCTGCTGTGGGCAGGATGGCCTTTGAGATGGCTGAGGGCAATGACGGGGGTCACAGGCGAGCAGCATGTGTTCTGCTGCAAGAGTAAAGCCCCTTTGTGCCTCCCAGACTCTGTGCCGGTCTCTGCTGTCTGTGCTGGTCAACGACGCGCAGGAAGGGGCCTCTGAGTGTGCGCCAGTTAGTGATGTGCAGGGAGAAGCCTCTTTGCTAAGCTGTGTGGTTGCTGTTGGTGGGGTTGCTCCCTAGCTTTTCAGCAATGGTGGGTCAGCCAGTTTGCTTTCAGTACTGGTGGGTGGGGGGGAAGGAACTGTAGGCTGCTTATTGCTGCAAGGGGCTTTGGAGCTGCTTTGCCTCCCAGGAGGTTAGGGCATCTAAATTTCCTTAAAATTTCCTAGCCTGCTGAGCTGAGTGTGCCAGGATGATTTTGTCCACCTGTTAAACCCTTGTCCCTTTAAGACTTTTAAAGTACCTGCTTTTCTTTTGTCCCAGGGCAGCTGGCTGTGGGAACCTGTTCACAGTCTCAGTCTCAGACCTTGCTTTTCCACTCCTCCAATATCCAGTGCACCATGCTATGTGTGTCTGTGCTCCTGGGGCAGACCACCAGGGCTAGTTATTTAGCAGTCCTTTGCTTCCACTCCCTCCCCACTCTGATTCCCTTCCTCCCACTGGTGAGCTGGGGTGAGGGGAATGCTCGGGTCTCACGGTGTCACAGCTTTGTATCCTACCCTTTTCCATGAGATGTTAGGCTCTTGCAGGTGTGTAGCCTGGCTCATGTACTGTATCCACCAGTCACTCTTTTAGGAGTAGTTGTATTCGCTGTATTTTCGAAATACCTATGGTGTTGGGAGGAGATTTCTGCCACCCTACTTATGCTACCATCTTGAGAATTTCTGCTTTTCCTTCTAGTGTATTGACAAATTTCTGTCAATTAAAAAAGGATCTGTACCTTTAAGGACAGTTGTTGTTCACTACTTCCTTTGTTTTAGGAATGAACTGAAAACCCCCAATGGAATCAAGAAACAGCCTCTGTAATGAGATATTTATTTCCATTCATTACACAAATAATTTTATCAGTTACCTACCATATGCCAGGGAGGAGGTAGCTGAGATGAAATAAAGTCCTCAACTTAGTAATCACACAGTCTACTTAATCATGGTGGTATATAGCTGAAGCCTGGCTTCCTTGGGAATAAAAATAGGATGACCTGGTACCGTACTGAGGCAAATTTGTCTCTTAGAGAAGAGGATATTGGAAATTGAAATTCAGTATTGAAATTGAGGAGCTTGAAAGCTGACAGCCACAAAGGTTCCTTCCATGTGGCCTAGGACCCCTCACCACCTTCAGCCCCATGAGTCCACCTTTTACAGGTCTCTGCACAGCTGCTTCCACCACTTAAAATAAGGAGACTATTGAATACTTTCTTCGTTTGGAATCCACAACTTATTTCAATATGTGTAAAATTCTTTGAAGTCCTTAGGAGGAGGTTGTATGTAATCATAATTTTAATGAAAAATATGAGCGAAGTGTAGATAATAATTTAGTTGTATATTTAAAAAAATCAAAGATTATCTTTTTCATTTTTCATTTCATAGGTTTAGGTTGTTTCTCTCAGATGCTGTAAAAAGAAACTTATGTCTTCTCTTCTATTTTTTTATTTTTCCTCTTCCCAGGCAGATCTTAGGAATGACACCACTTCCAAGGCAATTCATAATATATTTAAGAATGCTATACAGCTGCTGCAGGATAAAGGACTTGTTTTCCGGAAAGATGGTGGTTTTGATAACCTATATTACGTAAGAGAACTGCAACTTAATTTTTTCCCTTCAGAACTTCAATTACAAATGGATTCATTACTTAAGAATACCTATTTACTGTTTAAAAATCAGCCATTAAGGAGGTACATCAGAGGGACAATTGGCCCTTATCTTCTCCAGGGTTCCATTTTTTAGCATCCGTCCTTCTAGGCATTTATTTGTGTATTTACAAAAAACATATATAAATACAAGCTTCCGTGGCTTTTTTGTTTTCCAAAAACATGTGATCAACCTTTAAATCAGGATTTCTCAACCTTAACACTATTTCAGTTATATGATTCTGTGTTTGGGTGGTTGTCCTTCGCACTGTTAACAGCATCCCTGGCCTTCACTGACTAGATGCTAGTAGCAGCCCCCCAGTTGCTACAACCAGAGTCTCAGGACATTGCCAAGTGTCCCCTGGGGCAGTTGAGAACCACTTTTAAATAATGCCCACAGCTTTTTTGGGTACCAGAATAGCACATCACCAGCATCTTTCCATGTTGGTACTTAAAAATCTACCTCAAGTCTTTTTGACGTCTGCATGGGGTTCCATATTATGGGTACTTGCCGTATGTTTTTTTTTAACAACTTCTTTCTGATGGACATTAATGTTGTGGCTAACTTTTGTTCTCAGAAATAGTGTCACTATAGCTATTTTTGCACATCAGTCTTTGTGACCTGAAGTGTTTCTGTAAAATTAACTCTTAAAAGAGGAGCTGCTGGAGCAAAGGGCATGTACCTTTAAGCTTTTGGTTGACACAGTCTGATTGGCCTCCCACAGGCTGTAGCAGTTGACATTCCCACCAGGAGTACAAGTGCTCGCTTGCAGCATACTTGCAAAAGCAAAGGTCCACCCCTCACTTCCTGTCTTTAATATAGAGGCCAGCTGAAATCGGGCCTCATTAGGGCCAGTGATGCCAATAGGGTAAATGGGGCTTCAGTTAAGAGTGATTCTCCTGGAGATGCAGCAAAACTCTGAGGATCCCGGAAGCCTCATTCTTTGCAGGCATGATTTCTGAAAGGAAGCTCTCCTTAAGGGGACATTTTCTTCATGTTGATTTACTCTAGTAATTCCCCATTTTGGAGAATTTTTTTTAAGTAGGAGATGTTTTAAATACTATTTGAGTAACTTTTGAAAAGGGCATTCTAATCTGTGTGAAGGTGAATGCAGTCTATCTGCCCTCCCCCTCCTCCCCCTACACACTCATAGCAAGTCCTGGTGGGAGTTTGTTGCCTCTTGTGTGTTGGAGAAGCTCATGCTGGGCGGTCCACCTTAACACAGCTCTTCCCCCCTCGCATTCCCCTGGGAGGCTGTGGAGTCAGCCTCCTGTGAATGTGGAAGGCAGCTCTTCCTGAGGAGCAGCAGCCCTGGGCAGCAGGCCAGGGTCGAGGTGTGGCAGGGCTGGGGCACTTCCGCCTGTGAATCAGTGTGAGCTGGAATGGGGTGATCAAGCAGAAATAGAACAGCTCTCCTTTCCTCTGCGAACCACTCGCCTTCTCTGACTTCACTGCTCTCCTTCCACCTCAGCGTCTGGCCTGGGAGGTTTCAGTTTTTCTGAGGCCTCACCTCAGGGAAGTCACTATCATTGCAGTCTAAATACTTATATTTGTAGAGTGCTTTCTGGCCTCTGCAGTCCTCACCCACCTGCCTTATTTAATCTTCCCCATAACTTGGTGGTGGAGGGCAGGCAGGTGTCACCCATGTGCCCCTTCTGTAAATCTGGTCCTCCTGGAGGTCTGATCAGACAGGCATTCTGGAGACGTGTGTTGGTTTGCATGCTGCTTCTCTGTTTCTTCCTCTTTTCCTCTTTCCCTTCCTTTCTTGTACTTTTCCCCTTACTTCCTGCCTTCTTCCCTCCTTCTTTTCTCTCTCTCTCTCCTCTTTCTTTCTTTTTCTCTTTCTTCTTTTTTGATGTTAGATTGACTATTGGACATGAAGGTGAGACCCGTTTGGTTGCTGCTTCGCTCTTACCTGAGGTGGTTGAGAAAGGAACGAGGTTCTGTTTGCCTTTGAGAACAGAAGGCGTTTTCAAAGGATAGGCATGCATAGGCTGGATTTACTCTCTTGCTAGCATTTCCTTACGGTATTTTTGTCATTTGTTTTTCTTTGTGCTTGAAAGGATGAAACCTAGTGAGACACAAGACAGGGCAGAGGAAGAAGTCCTGGGGTGGAGAACAGAGGCTGATCACCGGTGCCCCTCTCAAAAACACTACAATAAATAAATGAAATTTTATAAATGTGTTTTGAATGTTTAAGAAGCAAGTTGCTCTTTAGAAGTATGGAATTCCAGTTTCTCTTTACGTCGTGGCCCCATGAGCCAGCTCTCCAGGGGGTGGGCCACTGCCAGCCACAGGGAAGTGAGAGCTGCTCGGGGACAGAGCGGGTTTGACAGTTGCCAAGTATGGAAAACAACATTTGTATAGGCGTGGTAATTGTTATGAAATCTTTAGAAACTATCCTAAATACTAATTTGGGAGTCTGGATGACACAGTTGCTATGTTAAGGCCATGTCCAAGCTTTCTTGCCAAACTGCTTTTCCTGTTCAGGTAACCAGAGAAGACAAAGAACTGCACAGAAAGGTCCACCGAATCATTCAGGAAGATTGCCAGAAGCCAAATCGTAAGTGCTCTGGTGTTCTTATGGTGCCCTGGTGACTGGAAGGGGGCAGGGGACATTCCCTCAGAGAGCACTGGACGGCAAGTCAGAGGACCTGGGCTTGCCCCAGTAATGACTTGGAAACACGACTGATCAAGACACCTGCCGTCTCTGGGCCTTGGGCTCCTCTTCTCTGAAGTGAGCATTAGGCTGGCACAGTTGTTCTGACCTTGGCTGCACATAACTTAACCTCAGAGCTCTTTTGAACATATGGTGCTCAGGTCCCACCCCTGGGGAATCTGAATCATTCAGGGGCTGGGACAAGGGCTAGACAGGTGAGTTCCTCAGGTGATTCTGATACAGTGAGGTGAACCACCACACTAGGACTTTTTGATGTCCTTCTAGTTCTCTTGTTCTATTTGTGTTATTTCCTGTTCCTCTCTTGCCCCTTGTCTTTGAACCCAAACCTGATGTTTTCTCTCTCTTCTGACATCAAACCCTTTGGTGTTAGGAGGACCAGTTCTAGACATTACAATTTATTAGCAGTGTAATTCAGTGGTTACTCTTTAGAAGTATGGAATTCTAGTTTCTCTTTTCATCGTGGCCCCACATGGTGTTGGAGCCTGATAATTTGCATAAGAAATGGTTTAGAAAATACTTGGTCTGAGTGGAGTTAGGTCAGCCCCTAGTGGCTAGAAACTCAAACTGTAGCTAGTCTAACAACAGTTACTACCATTTTCACACTAGCTAGAAAAAGAAAGCATCAGTCCTGTCTTTAAATCCCATGTAAACTGACTTTCAAACTTAAAGGTGACTTTCAAAGTCTGCCTTTTGCAAACAAGCTAATAACAAATACAGTATTAGTGACTGTATTGCCTATGCTGTTCTTCGTATCCATGTGACTTACTTTTAAAACTGCAAGTTTGTACCTCTTAATCTCTCTCACCTGTTTTACACATCCTCCTTCCTCTCTCCCCTCTAGAAGCTGCCAGTTTGTTCTCTGCATTTATGGATCTGTTTCTTGTTTTGTTTTTTATATTCCATATGTAAGTGAAATCATCCAGTATTTGTCTTTCTCTAACTTGTTTCACTGCCCTCTAGGTCCATCAGTGTTGGAGACAGCCAGATTTCATTCTTCTTTATACTACTTTACAAGTATATTTCATTGTATATATGTCTGTGTACTATGTGTATGTATGTACTATGTCTTCTTTATTCACTTATCTATTGATGGACACTTAGGTTTGCTTCCATATCTTGGTTGTTGTAAATAATGTTGCAGTGAACACAGGGGTACATCTATCTTTACAAGCCAGTGCTTTTGTTTCTTTGGTTAATTACCACCAGAAGTAGAATTGCTGAATCATATGGTGTTTCTATTTCTAATTTTTTGAATAACCTCTGTACTGTTTCCTATAGTAGCTGCACCAATTTATATTCCAACCAACAGTGCATGAAGGTTCCCTTTTTTCCACATCTTCACCAATACTTGTTATTTCTTATCTTTCTGACAATAGCTACACAGATAGGTGTGAGGTGATACCTCATTGTGTCTTTGATTTACATTTCCCTAATGATTAGTGACGTGGAGCATCTTTAATGTGTCTGTTGGCCATCTATATGTCTTTGGAAAAATGCCTGTTCTGTTCTTCTGCCCATTTCTTAATCTGATTGTTTGATTTTTTTGGTGTTGAGGTATATGAGTTCTTTGTATATTTTGACTATTAACTCCTTATCAGATGTATCATTTGCATATATATTCTCCCACTCAGTGGTTGCCTTTTCTCTTTGTTGATGGTGTCCTTCATCATGCAAAATTTGATAAAGTCCCAATTTGTTTTTGCTTTTGTTGCCTTTGCCTAAGGAGACAGATCCTCCTTCCTCTCTCCCCTCTAGCAGCTGCCAGTTTGTTCTCTGCATTTGTGGATCTGTTTCTTGTTTTGTTTAATTGTTTTGTTTTTTATATTCCATATGTAAGCGAAATCAAAAGTATTGCTGAGACTGATGTTCAAGCGCTTACTGCCTGTGTTTTCTTTTAGGAGTTTTACAGTTTCGGTTTTTACATTTAGGTCTTTAATCCATTTTAAGTTATTTTTGTGTATGGTGTAAATAAGTGGTGGTCCAGTTTCATTCTTTTTCCCAGTAGCTGTCCAGTTTTCCCAACATCATTTATTGAAGAAACTGTCTTTTCCCCTATATTTTGCCTCCTTTGTCATAGATTAATTAACCATTTATTCATGGGTTTATTTCTAGGCTCTGTTCTGTTCCATTGATCTATGTATTTGTTTTTGTGCCAGTACCATGTTTTGGTTACTGTAGCTTTGTTATGGAGTTTGAAATCTACATATATGAGGGGGTGATACCTCAGCTTTGTTATTTTTCAATATAGCTTTGGCTATTTGGGATCTTCTGTGGTTCTGTACAAATTTTAGGGCTATTTTTTCTAGTTCAGTGAAAACTGTTGTTGATGTTTTGATAGAGATTGCATTGAATCTATAGATTGCTTTGGGTAGTATGGGCATTTAACAAAATTTTTTCAATTCATGAGCATGGTATATCTTCCCATTTATTTGTGTCATCTTCCATTTCTTTCATCAATGTCCTACAGTTTTCAGAGTACAGGTCTTTTACCTTGTTCATTAAATTTATCATAGGTATTTTATTCTTTTTGATGCAATGGTAAATGAGATTGCTTTCTTAATTTCTCTGGTTGTTGTTATTAGTGTATAGAAACACAGCAGTTGCCTGTATATTGATTTTGTGTCCTGTAACTACTGAATTCATTTATAAGTGCTAATAGTTTTGGGGGGGAGTCTTTAGGGTTTTCTGTATAATCTCATGTCATCTGCAAATAGTGACAATTTAATTTCTTCCTTACCAGTTTGGATATCTTTTCTTTTTCTTGTCTGATTGCAGTGGCTAGAACTTCCAGTACTGTATCAAGCAAAAGTTGTGCCACAGTTTCTTTATATGCAAAGTGTGGGTTGCATATAGGTTATAATGCAACTACATGATGGGTTGTTATGAAAATTAAATAAATTGGTGCTTTATTAAACTGTTTGGAAAATTGTGGAGTAGGAAGCACCAGGAATCTGTCTCTGCTCTTAGATAACAATTGCATTTCTGTGATGTAACTATTTTGGAACCCTGAAGTCTACTGGAGGCTTGTAATTTCCAGGGGAAGGCTTGGACAGTAAGTTAGAGTTGATTTCAGTCAATTTTTAGCTCTTAGTAGCAGCTACCCATCCCTTAGTTACCTCCAGCCACTTGGCAGGCAACAATGCATGTGTCCCTGGAGTAACTTACACAGTTTGTGGGAGTCAGGGTGGGAAAAAGTAACCAGTCCTTCAAATATCAGGAATTTGTGCTCTGCTTACTGATTGCTACTGCTGATCACAGAGATGCAGACAAAGGTAAGTAGCCTCCTCCCATTGTTGGAAACGACTTTCTGGGGATTTAAAGTGACTACATCTCTGAAACAACTGAAGTGACTTTCTGGGTTCTTGAGCTCCAAACCTGAGTATCCAGGCCTTACAGAAATGAAGATGAAAAGCCAAGTGGTGCTGAAATTCCTGGTGCTGCCTCTGCTCTGGTTGGAGTCTTTCTCTACCCTCTGTCATCAACCCTTCATGGGAAGAGTTGAAGCTCTTTCAAAGAACTAGATTTTGTTATGGGTATGACAATAAGAGCTGTAAGGATTACCCATGCGAGAAGCACCTTCCACAGGTCTCCTTTCGTCCACACAATCACCGGTGAACTAGGTGATGATTGTCTCCCCATCTTACAGGTGAGGATCCGGACTGAGACATGAACCACTTTGGTTCAGTCCTGGAGCCCAGACTTGAGTTGAGGTCTTTGTGGTTCCAGAGTCATTTGCCTTTCCCTCCTTGCTCCTCCTTGCTTGGCATGACACATGTAGTAGGCATTCAGGAAATCTTTATAGAACAAATGTTGAAGAAACATCCTGGGAATGTGTGGACTAGTAGGAATGACAAATTTTCCAACAGTAATCACGCTTAGGAGGAATAATGAGTTGACAGAGCCACTAGAGGTCAGAATTTACCAAGTCTTTCATTAGCCCAGGAATGCTGCCTGTGATAGTTCTTGACGCTTAGAATTGGACAGGACCCCAGAGGTGTCCACACACCTTCCCCAAACCCTCCCCATGGGTGAGAAAACAGGCTTGGAGATGCTATGACTTGCCCAAGGCCATGAAGGTGCACTGACTCTCAACACCACAATGCCTCTTTCAGCACCTTCCTGCAGCCTAATGTATTTTATCATGTGAAAACATGTAGTAACTCTGTGGACCAGCTTGTGAGCCAGGTGCCTGGTATAAGCCTGGCCCTTCGTGACTTTAAGTGAAAACTGGCAGTGTTTATTTTTAGTGATGAGGGTTGACTTTAATTCAGAGTTAAAGACACATTTTACATCATGACCCCAAAATTACATAATTATAATGCATAATTATATATATAGGTAAAGTTTCACAAAATATCCTAACTATAATGCAGTACATTCTGTAGTTTCCTATTCTAGTTTGTCTTAGTCTGTTTGGTAAGAAAAAGAATGCCAATCACAACCCACTAAATAGATTTCATGGTCCACTAATAGTCATAACTTCAGTGTGCATACTACTACTCTAAATTACCAATTCCAACTAGGAAAGAAGTACTGACCCTGAACTTTTTCACTGTTTACCAAATGGTCTAGTTTTGGGTAAAAGGTAAGAGGGTATTTCTAGTTACTTTTTGGAAAGCCAGGCAGAGAGAAATGAGAACAGGCCAAAGGTAGGAATCCCTTCTTCACCATGGCAGTCCTATCAGTGAGGACTTTGGGCAAGAATATGGGGGCTGCTGTAAACTGGCACTGCTGTCAATCTTGAGGACTCCCACCTGGAAGTTCAGCACTGAATACATGCACTTAGACATGTAATTACACTAGAGCACTAAAAATTATCCAGCACTAAGAATCTATTGGGTTATGGATATAAAATTATTGGGAATCCATGAAAGTTGAAGGCCTGAGTTCCTGAGCTGTGGGACCATGTCACTATGGTGAAATAAGGGTCCTGAGAATGGGTTTTTTTTTTGTTTTGTTTTTGCTGATAACCCAAACTGGTACATCTCCAGTTTTAATGTACATAGGAATCATCTGGGAATCTTGTTAAAATGCAGGTTCTGATTCAGGGGGTGTGGAGAAGGGCTTCCATTTAGAGGGAGCAGAGGAGGCTGACAGGTGTGTCCAAGCTTAGCCAGCTGCCTTTTTCTTGCAGATGTGGAGAAGGGCTGCCACTTCCTGCACATCTTGGCCTGTGCACGCCTGAGCCTCAGCCCCAGCCTGAGTGAAACTGTGCTGCAGCAGGTTCTGGATGTCCTGGAGGACCAGAGTGACATCGTCAGCACCATGGAGCACTACTACATAGCGTTCTGAGCAGAGGCCAGCCCATGGCACAGGGCTGAGCCGGGCCGAGGGGGAGAAAGACCAGGGGATGGTCATTCCCAGGCTCTGATTTTAAGCATCATGTGGAAGCTTATAGGTTTGGAGGCAGTTAGCTCTTCATGAACTATGCAGTATGGCCATTTGAGGAATGGAATTTGGCAGAAGTGCTGTAGGCTGCCTTCTACCGGCTGTGTCCTTGGGATAAAATAATTCTTTTTTCAGCTACAACATGCAAGAAAACTCTCCTTGTTGACTTCCTGACTGGAGTGGATAATGCTGTTGGAGCAGAAGGGGAAGAAACAGTATCAGTGGCTAAATCAGTGCGTGTATGTGTGTTTTGAGGCTCTGTCATGGTAAAGGGACATCACATGGTAAAGCCCAGGTATGGCAGGAACTGAAGAGCACACAGCCATATCACACAGATCTAAAACTTTTTAAAACTTCAGACGATCAGGTGCATTCTTGGGGGTCTCTCGTAAGGGTTAAGAATCCAGTGTAGGGGACCAGGTCTCCCAGATGGTTGTTGCTGACCTCTGATTTCTGAGGGTCAAGCACCAATAGTGGGTCTTGAGTCCTGCATTGAATTCTGTTTACAGACCTACCTGAGATGGGAGTAAGTGGATCCAAGGAATGAATCTGTCATTTTCCTTATGAATCAAAAGATGCCTCAGTACATTTCCCTGCACTTGAAGACAGATGTAACTAAATACATTGTCCCTTAATGCCCTGGAGTTCCCAGAGGCTGTCAGCCAGTTGCCTGGCGGCTGTAGATGTTATTTTCAGGGTTACCATTGAATATACAGGACATCCTGACACCATCCAGACAGACTCTGTATGTGCCCAGACAGGTGATGGAGTCATGCTTTTGCTCAGAATCACAAGGTAAGGGGAAAAAAATCTGAGGTATGTAGTAGGCTTGTTCTAACGGCAAAATGACAAATCCAGCCAGCAAAAATAAAGTGTGGAGAAAGATTTGGAGTTAATTACAGTCATTTCACAAAAGACACATCTGCCTTCATCTGCTACTTTTCAGACAATTGAATAAGCTCTCAGTGGCTCTTCTTAAAAGCCTACAGGCCTAGAGAGTTGTTCTGCTCTGCGTGGAAATGGATTGGTTTTCACGCTCAGAAGTCAGCTGCAGCTCCATATATCAGGCTTCCTGTCGTGGGCTTTTCTGACTTGACATAAACCTCTGCCCTGGATCTGACAGTGATTACCCAGATGGCTGCCCTGTATCCTCCCTGTCTTCAGAAGGGTCCCTGTAGAATTGGGTATACCTGGAATGACATCCCAGCAGTTCTTCCTTGAGGTCAGCAGTTCTTCCATCTTGAATAGATCTTGGATTATTGGGGCTGTCGAGGAAGAAGTCTTGACTCAGAACATGAAAAGGGCATATCCTTCACACAGCAAACCAGCTTATAGGGTTTATACCAAGTAAATGATCACACAGGTGTGAAAGGGTGAATACAGAATACACAGATGCCAACTGCCATGTAATTCCAAATTCTATAATTGGGGAAAATATTTATGGTGAAAAATTAACTGGATAAAACTAGGGACAGCTTATGGACAAGCGTACATTAACACCATGCTCACAAATACATTTGAGAAGTGCCATATAAATATATACATCAAACAGATTATTGGAACCACCAAAGTGATACACTCGTTACCTCTGAAAGGTGAGAGATCAGATGCTTTTAACTATATCCCTGTGCTTGGATGTTATTACAGTTAGCAAGTGTCATTTCTACAAAAATCATCAAGCTGTTTTTCACTCCCCACCCCATGCTCACATAATCTGAATCATGAATGAACTAAGAATAAGATGGACCTTATATCCCCAGCAGCATAAGAACTCTGAGAAGATGAAGGAAGTTCTTGGAAACTTCTTTGGGGCTAACCACATTTGGGTCACAGGTCATATCGACGAGCCACCAAGAACTTCCCCTGAAGTGGAGGGAGACTGAGCAACACTCCAGCTCCCTTGGTGTGCACCCGTTTCTGGAAGCATGAACACTGCATGTAGTATGAAGGCGAGAAGACAAATAGTGCTTCTGTCTGGTCAAGGATTTGTTTAAAGATACTTGATCATCCCCATCTGGTAAGCTACCAGTGCTTCTCATCCTTGAAAGACGCTTCTTTGTAATTATTTCTCCCTCTGATAATGTGCCAAGACACTGGTCGAGAGAAAGCCAAGTGAAAAGAATCTATTCAGGGATGAGGAACCCCAGACTGGGTGCCAGGTATTGAAACCAAGCAAACTTGTAATTTTCCACTGGAGGAAACATCCAGACTTACCAGTGTGGTTTCTGCTCTACAAGTGGCCTTTACAGAAGTTGTCCCAAAGAAGCATCGTAGTGTTTCCTCACTGAGTTACATAAAGCATATGGGCAGATGCAAGAAGACCATGATAAGGTTTGCTGGAGAACACAGCAGCAGCCACTGGAAAGTGAATCTCCAGAGACATCTTTCAGCTTTTAGTACATACAACCTCATTCTTTAAAAGAATTTTAATGACAAAAAGTACAAAGAAGTGGGGAAATGGTCTACCACTTCCAGATATTGTGTATTTTTTTAGATCATATGTATGTTATTAAAACAATAACATGTTAATATTTTGTCTATGCTTCTAGAAAAAAATACATGTCAGCATTTATATGCATCCATATGATCCTATTATGTTGGAGAGGTTTTTTTCTACTTTAGCATACAAGATTGACCACATTTTTAAAAATAGTTACATAATTCCATTGTGTGGCTGCCCCTTATTGTATTTAACCAGACCCCTATTGAAAAACATTGAATTGGTTTCCAGTCTGTTGCTATTGTAACCAGTCTTCAGGAAACTTCCTTGTACATTTTTCTCTTGTTGGCATACATATGCAAGTATATTTTTATGGTCAGTTTTTAGCAGTACAACTGCCAGAAGAAAGGGCATGAGCATTTAAAAATTTGAATAGACATGGACAAGTTATCCATTGAAAAGACAGATCTATTTTTATATACCTGTCAATAATTCATGAGTCTACTAGTTTGCTCACAAACTCACCTACAGGTTTGTATCATCAATAGTTTTAATTGCTGTTCATCTGATAGGTAAAAACAATTTCTGGTTTTTGTTCACATTTATATTTCTTTAGGTGTGAATCATATTGAGCATCTTTAAGACAGATGTAGTCCTGCCCTGGAATTGCCCATTACTTCCAGCCGTGCCTGAGGACAGCCTGGGTCATATGTTCTGCAGTAGAATCAGTCCAGATGCCAGCTGCTAAGGTCCTAGTTAATTCACAGCCAGAATTAAAATCCTTAAGAACTTAAATCTCAGGGTTCCCACTGGGCTACTGCAAGTGCTTGGGCACATGTCTGCCCAAATATAATATATTATAAATAATAGACTAAGGCAGTGATCTTTTTAAAACCAATCACTGTATTATTGTTTAGACCTCTCGTAGACCAGACGCCATTCACTGTGGTCAGTGACTTTGTCCCCAGTTGAATTAATGTGAAAAACTACGGTTGTTTTTAAGTGCTAATTAAGTGGAGAAGATAGTTTTAGTAATACAAATGGTTGTAGTGCTACTTCCACTTTAATCAGCATAGCCTGGTCATAATGAGGTGACACTTGCATTTTTGTCATTGCATGGGTTTGGTACAGTTAATTGGGGCACTGGGCAGCAACCCTTTTGATAATCTTGGCTAGAAATTGCTTCCTCAAGGAGAAGGATTTTCTGTTGTTGTTCTGAGGATAATCAGTGAATGAAGGAAATAAAGCACGGGTGAAGATAGTATCCTTCCATTTTTTAGCTCTACTTTAGAGCAGTGGTGGTGTTTGTTGCACAGGCTGTGATGTGTGGCATAGTTAACTTGTGATAAGTACTGACTTTTGTGATGGAAACGTGAATGATTAGTTTATTCCAATATAAATTAAGTGGCAGGATAATATACTGAGCTATTAGCTTGGAGGTTTGTTTTCCTGCATTTTATTTATTCTTTCTGAGCTGGAAACCAGCTATGCATCAGGGAGGTTTGGTTTGAAAGCCAAGCGCTGAGGTGGTTTGTGCAGACAGCCTGGCTTATATTTTCTGAAAGCCTGCAGCCTGGTAAGGATGGGACATCAGTGGACTCCAGGCTCTGCAGACCAGAGTGTGCTCCCTACAGTGCCTGCTGCTGGTAGCACGCTGGCAGAACTTACATGGCGAGGCTGTGCGGTGTTTCTCAGAGGCTTAGAGCCTCAGCCTAGGATTCCAGCTTCCCCAAGATTCTTGAGCTTAGAATGCAAGCTGCCACAAGTCTTCTTGTGTCTCTCCAGAAGACATTTGGGGACATTAACAGGCTTGGTCTTAGGGAAAGAATAGACTCCTTCCCGTTATCCCGGCCTACAAGCCTCCTGGATTCTCATGCATCCTCAGGAAAGGGGAGAGCCTGCCCCACCCCACTACCACCTGTATTCTTTTCCTGATAGCCCAGAGGATGAGGTCTGTAAGCCCAAGGTAACTTGAAATAAAGAGAAAAAGGAGTATGACAGGTTTTGCCCACCCGAGTTTTGGGAGTAAGATTCATATCTTACTATACCACAGTTAGAATAAATTCAAGGTGATTCTTAGAATGAGATCGTGTTTCCACCCACTTACACTCTGCAATGGTCTCTTGAGTGGGAAAGAAACGGACAACATCATAGTGCAGTTCCAGGGAACTTGCTTGTGACCCTTCCACAGAAGCATGCTGCCTGCAGAAACCACCTGTCCTGTGTCAATGCAGAGACAATTAGAAATCACCTCCTCAGAGGACAGGGGAGAGAAATGAGGTAATTGGAGGTTGTTACATTTCCTCAGTGGGGTCCACCTTATCATGAACTAAAAAATTTACCCTGCCCTGCAACCACCAGAGGTGACCTGGACATCCACCCAAGCAAGTGAGCAAATAGAACCTAACTTAGGGAAGAGCCCCAAACTATTTGAGCAGTGAGTCTCTCAACATGAAGAAGCTTGCAAAGGCCTTACTCATTCCAACAGCTGGCCCAGCCCAACCCAGCCCAGCCCAGCGCCTCAGGAAGAGTCAGCAAGTTGCCTGTGCTTGTGGTTTCTGTCCCGTCCTGGCTTGCTTTGACCTGGTGGAGGGTAAGAAATGGGAATGCCACTCCTGGGAGTGACAGCTGGCTTTGGAATTCTCATGTCAGCACTCCATGGGGGCTGGCCATCAGCACAAGCAGGCACCCCATGAGGGCGAGCCAGGGAACAGGAAGTGATCTGCTGTTTCTGTCCATTTGTGGTAGACCCAGGTAACTAGCATAAGTAGGAGGTAGGCACATTCCGAACCCATAGCCAGCTGAGTTCTGGGTGTGTTTCCACAGGGCTGGAGACTTAACTAGACTTGACTAACTGTAACTTCATGTTCCCCCGAGGTTGTCCACATGACAGGTCACCTGGGAATCTGATTGGCGCAGCAGTAGGCATAGAGCGGTTCTTAATAAGTGTTTCAATGGATGGACAATGTACTTACTGAGTGTCACCTGTGCAAGGTGTTGTGCCTGGTGTAGAAGGGGATGCCAAGACAAAGCGGCACCACTATCTTCACAGAACTGTCAGTCAAGTGGATCATAAGCACATGTCCACGTGATTTGTAAGCTGTGGATGCAAATGTGTCCTTGTTTGACCCTCAGAGCTTTAAAATTTTATGCCAACATAAAAAAGATTGGCTACCATCTGTATAAAAAAAATAGTATGTGTACGTGAGTGTGTGTGTATGTATGTATGTATGTCTGAAAGGCCACAGAAGAAACTGGTAAATGGGTGACCTCAGAAGTGGGGGCCAAGAGTGGGTGGGAGACTTGATGCAATGTTTTGTCATTTTTTAAATGTGTAAAATGTAATAACAAAATAAACAAAAAAAGAGATGGGGGAATTCACATAAAAATCCAAGTTTCTGGCTTTTCTTAATAACTCAGAATTCTGGCAGTACTGGGAACTTTTAGTCTGGAAATAGTGTGGGTGGATGGGGGGAGGGACAGCATTAAAGGATTTTAGGCTGAGAACTGGCACCAGTTGTACATTTTGGCAGAAGTAGAGGAGCATTTCATGAGGGCAAGCTCAAGGGCAGGTAGACCAGAGAAACGTGTCAGCTGCAGTACTCTGAGGAAGGGTCTGAACTGGGACAATATTCTGGAGACAGATCTCAGGCACTGATGAGATAGAACTGAGGTAAGTGACAAATTTAGAGGTGAAAAAGTGGAAAAGGCCAGGACAACTCCCAGGTTCTGTAAGACAGACCACTGAGTTTTAAACTAATGGAAGGGGCAAGGGATTCAGGAAATCTATGGCCTTCTGACCTGGAGCCAGCAAAAATGCTGAAGGAGTGCATCTCCTGAAATGCAAGGCAAGGCCCATGTGAGAAATGCACTCTTGGGGATAATTAGCTCCGCTCCCCTACTCCAAGCATCAGTAGTATCTCCCTGATTTACCAGGAAAAAAAAGCCTCTGGAGAACACATCATGGGAGAACCAGAATTTCAGACAGAAACATAATGCTTGTGGCTTAAAAGGCAGAGAAAGCACCAACTGAGAGGTAGTTGAAACCATATTCCTTTAGGGAATGGATTTTCTTGTATCTGTGTGCATTCTTTACAGCTTTATTAGTCACAGCTGAAGCCCTTTTTGGGTCACAAAGCTGCCAGCAGGGTGCTGTTCCAAGGAGGATTACCTTGAGCAACAAGCTGCAAACAGCAACCCCGCACGTCAACAAGCCAGGCCTCCCTAGCAACATTGCCACCCAAAGGGAGGGGCGGGGGCCTTATCCCTGAGATTGGAGGTGGCCCGTAAACAACCAGCCTGGCACTTCTAGAATTCTTTTTTGCCTTGAGTTTTAACTTAGCAGTTTGGGGCATTTCACAAAGGATAGAAATACGAAGTGAGTTTTTACTGCCTTTGCACCAACATCCACAGCCATTTTTTATGACATTTGCTACTTGAATCAGTTGAAAATACTTCCCTCTGAGACTTGGTGGTCAGATACCATTTTCTTAACTAAGTTATTTAGAGTGAAATCACACTAATATTAAATACCTAGTAATAGCTAATGGTTAATGAAACCAATCACTTAGCAAACAAATCTTCACATAACCCAAGTAAGTAGGTTCTACTACCATTCCCACTTTACTGATGAGGGAATTGAGGCCAAGACTAACCTGCCCAAGGATATATTAAACCAGAAGCTCCCGGTTTACCTACTGCATCCATCTTGTCCTATTCTACCCAGCGCAGTTCATCCATTTACATAACCTGTGACTCATCCCCTGAAAGGTGCCACCATATTTATATTATTTCAGAAGTGCTGCAATTATAAAAAGGCTGAGAACAATTGTCTTAGCTATCTTAAGGAAAGCAGAGTTTTAGAAAAAGTGCCCTTACCTATCTGCTAGGTGAAGCTGCTGACTGCCGTAAAACAAGAATAGATTCTCCAGGCCTTTGCTGCTCAGAATGTGGTCATGAACCAACAGCATCAGCATCATCCGGGAGCTTGTGAGAGATGCTCCCCAGACCTACTGTATGTGTCTGCTGAGGCTGCCTTAATGAAATACCACAGACCGGGTGGCTTAAACAACAGAAATGTATTTTCTCATAGTTCTGGAGGCTTGAAGTCCCAAATGAAGGTGTCAGCAGGTTGGTTTCTTCTGAAGCCTCTCTCACTGGCTTGTAGATGCCATCTTCACCCCCCGTTTTCACATGATCTCTGCTCTGTGTCTCTGTGTTCTCTTACTAGGAAACCAGTCATGTTGGATTAGGGCCCACCTCAATGACTCATTTAGCCTTAAATACCTCTCTAAAGACCCTATCTCCAAATATAGTCACATTCTGAGGTACTGGGGTTAGGACTTCAACATATGAATTTTGAGGGGACACAGTTCATCCCATAATATCTTCTAAATCAGGATTTACATCTTAACAAGATCTCTAGGGGACTCGTGTCCACCCTGAAGTTGGAGATGCACCACTTGGGCTTGCTGTCCAGCAGATAAAACACCAGAAGGTCTGTCTGGAGGTGGGGGATGAGAGGAAAAGAAGAGACTGGAATGATTTTTTTTAGGTGAACTTTCAGTTCCAAATGTCTGATAGGGTGAGAATACTGTGAAACTAAGGTCAGACCCCCTCCCACACACACACACACATTGGAATTGGGTCCAGGAACCCAAATGGAGCTATACTACTATTACTGCTATGTATAATACTATTTTATTGTTGTCTATGAAAGAACACATCACAAACCAAAACTGATACCGAATCTGACCCATGGGAGTTAAGAAGAGCCTCCTTCTGCAAACGAATGTTGGAAATGTGGCTGCTCTCAGCAAAGAGGTTGTTTTCATTTGGTCACTACCTACAGATTTCGTCTATCAAGGTACAAGGCATATGTCTGGGATTTCCTGGAATAGGGACCAGTAAGATAGCACACTGCATTCCTCCCACTCTGTACAAGCTCATTTACTACCTCTGTCATATGCCTGATGCCATGGTGACAGTTGCCATGGAGATATTCCTATGCATGGTTGAAGCTAATCCTACCTATACTGTCAATCATATGGTTCAAACTAGAGATTTTCAACCTTTGTTCCATAAAACTATAAGGTGCTTCCAGGGTTTCACAAACATTTGATTCAAATCTCAAAGTATTTTACATTTGTTTTTTAAATTATAAAGAATATATATTCTTGAAGGGGATCAAACAGTATATAGTATAGAATATATACTAGAAAGCAAATGTACAAATTCCCATCTGACAGAGTAGTTTATTTAATATATTATGCTAATATATTAAATATATACTATGCTAATATAAAGTCCTAACCCCATTTAATAATATGCTAATCCCTTAGAGAATAATTATGACTTCCAGACTCCCCCCGCACCTCCCTGCCCAAAGGAAAAAGGAAACCTATTTGATGGTACTGGGGAGCAACCGGACAGTAAAGGGAGGGGAATCACTGAGCAAGATACACATCTATGTAACTTTTCCTCTCAGGCAGTCATTCTCCAACTTTATTATATATTAGAATCTCTGGAGTGCTTGTTAAAATATAGATTGCTGGTTCCCAGCGTTTCTGATTCACTAGGTCTGGGGTGGGGCCCAGAATTTTGTAGTTCTAACCAGTTTCCACATGATGCTAATAATACTGATGGTCCCAGGACCACACCTTGAGAACCACAGTCAGCTTGCAAGTAAGTGTCATTCAGGAGTAAAGCCACAGGCTTA